AGATAGATAGATAGATAGATAGATAGATAGATAGATAGATAGATAGATAGATAGACAGATAGATAGATAGCGGCAGAGATGACAGAGAGAGAGAAATATAAATAAATAAACATATTGACAGGGAGAAATAAACAAAGAGAATGAAGTTGGAGTTTGAAGAATAATTGTGAAGAGCATGTAGCGAACATTGTATGTTTGTACATGAGTTTCTCCGGGTGAGTGAGTATAGTTATACCCTCTACCTGTTTTACGTTTAATACATATCTTACGTATTATAATACATGTTTTACGTATAATATACGTGTTTTACGTTTAATATGTGTTTTACGTATAATGCACGTGCTTTACGTATAATATACGTGTTTTACGTACAATAATTATTATTATACGTTTTGTACTTTCCCTTCTTGCAGAGTTGACACGAACAAGACAAAGAGTTCACTCGTCACTTTAGCCTACTGAAGGCCCATTGAAACAGTTCAATACTCGCACAATATTGCTCAAGAACGCTAACATGTCATACCTATTTTCTTTCTTACGTCCAGATACAGTAAGGGAAGTAGTTTAGCTGCAGTTATCGTTAGCTGTTACTTCCTCATTCGGGGCACGCCCCCTAGTAGAAAAGTGGAGAAGGCAACACTCCAGACTAGGATTGGGTTGGTATTCATGAAGATGCATGGCTCAGAGCTAATCTGATTGTCTGTTCTGTACCATTTCGCCTGCCTGTTCTTAAAACATCCAAAATGGTAATCAATCAGGGATGAAAATACAAAACCAAGATGAAATCCTAAAACGTGTGTCCATTTTTCTGCTTGTCGTAAGTTCAATGCCCTGCTGGACAAAGCATTCGTCTTATTGAATATTGAATACTGGGGTTAAAAAACAACGCGAGGAATTGTGGTGAAATCAGGAGCGCATCAAAATAATTAAATAGAAGAAACTGGAATGTATTCTCTCATTGGGCACTTGCTATTGATTTTCGTTTCTTTTTTCAGTTCAAAACCTGTTTTATGTCAATTTAAAAACACATTCTTGCGTGGATCTTACTGAATATAATTGTTGATAAAAAATACAAGTCTAAATGCAGTTTCCAATAATACTCAAACGTTGGTAGTCATCAAACTTTGTCGAACATTTTCTCACTCTAATCTTGTCAGGTGATCGCACCTTGTTGAATCAAAACAATATCTTTCAAGACAGATGTGTATTTTTTTAATTGAAAGAAAAGCCCATGAACAGACTTTAAGATAAAAACAATAACTCCACATGACCAAAATTTTACGAGTACCTGATTTTACACTGTCGTGAAACATAATATTGTTTCTTTGGGGATTTCCATCATCACCCCACTGACATCTGTGAAGTAATAAGTACGTTGCACGTCGTTTCATACTGAAAGGCGGGAGTTCGATTCCCGAGTTGGGAGGTTTTCCTCGAGTATCTGTCAGTCTGCTGGCGTCTTGGTTTTTGATTGATTGAGTTTGCTCATTAGCCATCCTGTGACATATTTTTTTATTCGTATATTTTTGTTTGTAAGTTTGTTTTGTTTTAGTAGAGGTTTTACGGCGCTCGCAACTGCATAAGATCATATGAGCGCCAGTTTATAAGTTTGTATGCTTTTATATATAGTAGAGAAAAAGAAGAAGAAGAAGAAGAAGAAGAAGAAGAAGAAGAAGAAGAACAAGAAGAAGAAGAAGAAGAACAACAAC